GAACATAAGAAAGAAGCTCAATAAAGACATGTAAGACCTAAATGCCACAACCAACCAATTTGATCTCATAGACATATACAGAACGTTCCACCCAACAGCAGCCAAGTATAATTTCTTTTCCAACGCACATGGAACATTCTCCAGAACAGACCACATATGAAGCAATAAAGCAAGCGTTAACAGAATCCAAAGCACAGAAATATTACAAAGCATCTTTTCTAACCATAAAGCCATAAAAGTAGAAATCAATAACAGAAAAAGCAAGGGAAAAAAAATGAAATACATGGAAATTGAATAACACCTTGCTCAAAAGCTACTGGGTTATAGAAGAGTTTAAGGACGGAATAAAGAAATCCACAGAATCAAATGAGAATGAAAACATATCCTACCAGAAACTTTGGGACACAGTAAAAGCAGTGCTCAGAGGTCAGTTTATAGCAATAAATGCACACATCCAAAAAGAAGAAAGGGCCAAAATCAAAACATTAACCCTACAACTTGAACAAGTAGAAAAAGAGCAGCAAAAGAAGTCCTCAGGCGCCAGAAGAAAGGAAATAATAAGACTTAGAGCAGAATTAAATGAAATAGAGAATAGAAACACAATTGAAAGAGTTAAGAAGACCAAAAGCTGGTTCTTTGAAAACATCAACAAAATCGATAAACCAGTGACCAACCTGACAGAAGAAACACAGGAGAGGAAGTAAACAACCCGAATAAGAAATGAGATGGGTGATATCACAACAGACCAATGGAAATGAAAAGAATCATAACAGAATACTATGAAAAATTATACTCTAATAAATTTGAAAACCTACAGGAAATGCACAAATTTCTAGAAACTCACTACCTAGTTAAACTCACATAGAGGCAGAACAACTAAACATATAACAAAAGAAGAAATTGAAAATGTAATTAAAAAACTCTCAAAACAAAAAAAAAGCGCTGGCTCTGACGGTTTCACTAGAGAATTCTACCAAACTTTCAGAGAGAGTTAACACCACTACTACTAAAGGTATTTCAGAGGATAGAAAAGGATGGAATACTCCCAAACT